GATTCTCTGCCCCTTCGTTCCACAAATTCTCTCTTCCTCCTGGGTTTATCCATAAATTCTCTCTATTAGTCCCCTTTTTATCTCTACACTTGCCTCTCGCACTGCGCGCAAAATTGGTTTTCTATTCCGTGCAAGGCGTTTCTTTACACCTAGCTCCTTCTTTTATACTAAGCTCAAATCCGCCCAGTGCTTGAATACTGCAGTCACGTATGGGGCTTCGTATTCCGCTCTTTCTCTCCTCGACCGTGTTCAACGTAAAGCCATCTGGCTGATCGACGAACCGTCTTTAACTTTCACCTCGCAGTCGCTTTCCCATCACCGGGCAGTTGCTTCGTTATCTCTTTTCTATCGTTACCAATTTGGTTTCTATTCCTGCGAACTTGCTTCAACGGTTCACATTCCATTGACCTTCTCTCGTCTATCTCGTTCTCACGCGACCAGTAAGCCTTATCAGGTTTCTGTCCCCAGATGTCGGACTTTTATCTTTTAATCTTCTTTTTTCCTGAGGACCTCGAAATTGCGGAACACTCTACCCATTTCGTTGTTTCCCGGCTCTTAAAACCTTGCCCTTTTCAAAAGCAGGATTAATAAATTGATTCTTGAATGTTCCTCCCCATACCTCCGCCTTACAGTATCTCATTGATTATGGGGTTTACCCCTTTTTCTGTTAATCACTTCGTATGTAATAAAACAAACAAACAAAAAGCATGGGCGATTGAACTGGACGTAAGCTTGAACGCTTTAGACGCTAGGTTCTTCGTTGGAAGCTCAACTACCCTGGTAGATGATCATTTTTCAGTTCTTCCGATTTAATAACTACAGTTTGGTGCTTACTTCGTCCTTTTCGACTCCACACCCATTTCCCGGTCTGTTTTATAATAAACCAAAAACACCGGACTGTAAACGTCGTACCCAAATGTGAAAGAGATTGTCGTTTTTATTTGTATTCTTCTGTATATTAGATGAGTGTTTCTTAAAAGACGTTTATCTATAGCATAGCAGAGCGATCTTTTTATCGGGAGTTGCGATGAGTGCTTCAAAACAAAGCAAGTAATTGAAGTGCTAATATTTCCATCGGTTCGTTAGCAGATAGACTTTCGATTTGTCCATACCGGGCAGCAAGCACATTCTTGTGATAACATTTTTGCCCTTGTCGTTTTTATCCTTTTACGATAATCAATTGCCAAGTTATCTTTTCAAGTTCATATGCCCAGTCATTTCACTCTACCAGTTTGAAGGCTGTGCTTCCTAATTCAGTGACGTTTTTGTCCATCAGCTGTAATATTACTAGATGCTCAATAACGGTACGTTTGCACGGTGATTTCCTGTGATTATTTCTATAACTCGTTGGATCGCTTTCTCACTGTTTTGTTTTCAAACAAATCTTTTCGGTGCTTCTTGTTACTATATGGCTGTCACCATGCTCTTGATTGACGCACAGTATATGTATCGTTTGGTGACGAGATTGGATTTCGTATATGAAAACGATTTCAGTCATCAATGTCCGTTTCCATTCATATTGCTACCTATGTGTCTTTGTACATTCATTCATCGTAAGCGATGATCACCTGTAACAAGCCTTTGCTCGCTTCCTTATTTCGGTCCCAACTGAAAATTTATCTCAATTTGTCAGGCGGATTGATGATGATACCGGGAGGCACTACGAGTTAGGACAGTGTGCTGTTAAATGTATGCGGACTATTCTGATTGGATGGATGCAGCAGTCCTCCAAAGTGAGTCGGTTATAAAAAAACATCTTGGTTTTCCTCCTTACAAGCAAAAGTACTGATCTCAGTTAGCGCTGCATTTATTTCCGTGTTTTTATCGCGGGGCTTGTCTTGTAAGTCTAATTTCATTTAACTGCTGAGAGCCACGACAATAATCCAAATGGATCCTTCATCTGATCTGTCTTCATTCTTTGGAATGACGTATTTTATTCAGCACATTTGATTCCACGAGGAATTTATTAGATAATATTGTATCACTTGTGTTTTCAGTCGTTTCATTTTTATGGTAATTCAATCATTTTCTGACCAAAGAAAACGAAGTAAAAAGCCAGGTACACACACTATTGTAGTGTTCAAACTGCTTGATATGATCGGAATGTTTCCTGTAAAGTTGAGCCTGCCCGTCCCATTTATCTGTCTTTCCATACGCAA